TAGGCAAAAATTGTTAATGAACTCCGTGTCACTGAAGTGAAGCACATCACCACTCACCACTCTTGGCTACGTCTCCACATCCACACGTTCCTTTCAACGGACGTCGCTGCCACTGTCCCACAAAACACCACGACCAAAAACCTCGTCCTTCTCCTTCTCAATCTCCTCCTTAAAACAAGTAAGTTGTTCATGTTCTGGCTCCGGTACGAGAGGAACTTTAAAATCTCCAGGTGCTCAATGCTGCGTCCATGTTTGGACAACTTCTGTAAACACAGAGACGCTCACTGCGGTTGATGTCATCGTGTCTCCAGTGCACATGAGGGACACTTTTGGGCCATTTAATGTTCACACTGGAGTCACATACAAGTCACATTTAATTGTAAATGTGAACGACCTCACAAAAACATCGGATTTCACAAAAAAAATCTGAATTGAGCGTTAAGCCCTGCAGTCTGAACGTAGCCTAAGAGGCTCAAACCATGGTTCTGTGTGGAGTTTGCATGTTTTCTCTTGGGCTGGCCCCGTCTTTCTCAAACCCAGGAGAATTCCAGGGGTCATGAAGACCTCTCAACAAAGAGGCTAAAGATAAATAACTCAGAAAATATAAACTGAGATTTGAATTGTCTGCCTTATATTGGGTATTTGATGTTTTTAAGGTAAATTAACTTTTAAAAATATATAAAATACATAAATGCCGCCAAGTGCAGTGGCAACGTAACTTGATTTACAATTCCCCACATGGGCGCATGAGAACTTGCAAAAGCAGTGAGTTAAATGGTATTTTAAAAAAAGACAATGACCAGACTCCAGGGACAGGAAGAGAAAAGAAGACTGTATCACAAAGATTTTTTATTGGTTTCATGGAAGCACTGGACAAAATCAAGATTGAGTGCATCTTTTGTGGTGAGAAACTGGCAAATCAAAGTATGAAACCCAGTGAGCTCAAGCCACTGCAGAACACTAAGCCCCCAGAGACAATGAGGAAACCATGGGAGTATTCTTTTCACAAAAAAGCACTGACTGCAGAATATAAGGAAAAGTTTGCCAGGGCTGGAAGTGACCCAAAGCAAGCCAGTACTGCTTTGTTTTTGTGCTCTCTCCTCATAGCAAAGACTAAAAAAAAACACACAACATCATATTAAAATGGCAGAAATAATGTGTGGAGCTCAGGTGTCTTATAAATTAAAACTGTGCTATTGTCAGACTACACCATGAGAGACAGGACTGACAGAATGCAGCAAATGTTAAAACTGTCTACGAGAACAGTAGTTGTACAATCCCAGTACTTACTGAACCTTTTTGATCGGTTACTAGTTGGAGCAGAGTTTCAGTACCCAGCCCTAGAATACACTCATGGACACTATGCAACCTGCCAGGACGACTGAGGAATTACACACATATAAGACCACATGGGAATAGAAAAGAAAGTACTATTTAATGTTGAAAATCACATTGTATTTTCTAAAGAGTATTTCTATCATCACTGTGAGATTGGAATAGGTCTTGATTCTGTTCTTTGGTATCAAAATGGAGTTTGAAGTTTAGTAGAGTGACAGACTAGTGCAGTGTCACTCAGGTGTTTTTCAGTTTAAATAAGAGAAACCAGTTGTACTGCAGTTCAGATAAAGTGTTTTACAGTTGTATGGGGCATGTGCATGCTCCCTGGTTGTCAGTGTTGGGGAGTAACAGATTACATGTACCGGAGTTACGTAATCAGAGTACAAATTATGAGTAACTGTATTCAGTTACAGTTACTGTTTCAGTGAGTGTTAATTGGATTACAGTTACTTTGTTGAAATAAATGGATTACACGGCGGTATTTTCCTGTTTTCACATTTTGGGCTAAACCAGGACTAAAACCAGAACTAAAACCAGGACTAAACCAGGACTAAACTAGGACTAAAACCAGGACTAAAACCAGACTAAAACCAGGACTAAACCAGGACTAAACCAGAACTAAAACTAGAACTAAAACCAGGACTAAACTAGAACTAAAACCGGGACTAAAACCAGGACTAAAACCAGGACTAAAACCAGGACTAAACCAGGACTAAAACCAGGACTAAAACCAGGACTAAACCAGGACTAAACTAGAACTAAACTAGGACTAAAACCAGGTCTAAACTAGGACTAAACTAACACAATATGACACTAACAGTAGGTGGACATAATTGTGATTTCATATAAAAATAATTTCTCTATCAATAATATTTTTTATGTGGTCAAGTATGAGTCATTTTCAGGATGTGGTTGTTACATTCATGTAGTTTTAAAAAACATGACGATATATATATTTTTAATTTATTTATTAAATGACAAATGGTAATATACAAAACAAGTGAAAAATGACAATATCAAGTAATCCAAAGTATTCAGATTACGTTACTCACTTTAAGTAATTTAATGGATTACGTTACAAACTACATTTTGGGGTATGTAATCTGTAATCTGTAGGGGAATACATTTTAAAAGTCACCTTCCCAACATTGTTGGTTGTGCAACTGTGTGTGCACAAGTATACAGGAAAAACAAGGAAACGTGCCAGTTAACCAAGCAAAATGTTTTTGCTGGGTTAAAAGGACAACTAAACACCAAAACCTGATTATCTGTGTAAATGGGTCTAAAAGGGACGGCAGTAGAGCGTAGGGGTGTGCAAAAATATTGAAATATCGATATATCGTATAATTTAATGTGATGATACAGTATTGATATTGGGCACTGCTGTATCGATATATCGGCAAGAGTATTTTTTGGTATTTTACTCAATTATTTTGTTACAGCGTTACAGTTTTGTTGCTTATTTAGTGGAATGAAACTCGTTTATGAGACACATTTGGCATTTTCACTGTTCTGATGAATAAAATGTTTGTGTTTCATATGAACTTTGTGTAGTTTAACAAAAACTTTTAGTATCACAGCTATGATTTAGCCATTATTTTTTATTGAACCGTATCGAATCAATTTGAAATATATCGTATCGAATCGAAAATGCACTGTATCGAGATATGTATAGTATCATGACCTATGTATCGACGTATGTATCGTATTGGCAACTTCTTAATGATACCCAGCCCTGGTAGAGCGTTTGTCCGCTGATCTGAAGGTTGGTGGTTCGAATCCCGCTCTCGAGATCAGCATCATTGGTTGAGCCTCAGATCCATTGACCCACAGGTCGGCTGGTGTGATTTCAGCTCCCACAGATGAATGCTGTCTTTGTGTCCTTGGGCAAGACACTTAACCCACCTTGCCCCAGTATCTGCGTAGACTGATGTGAATGTGTGTGGGTGTGGGTGTGGGTGAGTGGTTCCTTGTTTACAACAAGACTTTGATTGTATTGAAGGTGGAAAAGCGCTGTATATAAATGTGACCATTTACCATTTTAAAAATAGAAGTGTATCTCTATCTCTGGCCTTATTTTATTTTAATATTTTAGTTAATATTTGTCAAAAAATGGGTTTAAAGTCATGTCTGTAACGGTCTCTTTAAGATCAACTACGGCCATGACATTTGAATTTCCGGGTTGGACTAACGGCCGCCAGTGAGCAAGGTTATTACGGGATGAGCGCAGACACTGGCGTCTACAGGCGGGTCGTGAGGAGCCCCTCTCAGCCCCACCCCTACCTGGCACCACCGGGCACCGCCATGTCCCGCCGTGTCTGGAGAAAAGGGAAACGGCGTGATCTGAGCACAAATGTTCGTTCTGTTTTCAAAGTCTGGAGCATACCTGTCCACGCCATGTTGGATTATTATGGCTGTCAATCAGCTGTCAATCATCGCTCCAGAGCCCGCCCCACACCGACACTCCGATTTTGCTTAGGGGCAGAGTAAAGCTGTTTAATGGCTCTTTAAGATGTCTTGAGTGTGTAACAGAATGACTTGGGTGAAGGTGAATGGTCTTTAAAAACACAGAGGAGCACCCTGGATTACCACTAGATGAGAAAAAGTGATTGTGAAGTTTTGTCAAGTCATTTTAGGGATAATATTGGACTTTCAGTATTTTTACTTTTACTCAGTGGACTTCCCCCTCTAATGAGCGGCTGTGTGCTGGTGAGGCGTGCCCTGTAGCACAGCCGTCTGACAGTGCCATCATTAAACTCAGAGTCACCAGACCCTCATGTGCTTTTCTGACCAGTTTAGACACTGCCAAAATGATTCAAACTGTTAAAAATATCCACCAAATGTGACTGAGACTCACTTTGCCAAAGTGAGTGTACTGGAGCGAGAGTACTGCTGACAGTTGTTGACTTGTAATGTGATACACTGTGATGGTCCATGATATTATTTTGAGACCTTTGACGATACAATACTATGATATTTCAGTTATTGTAGACAAATAGACAAATGTCATGTTTGGGTCTTTACTAATGGCAACACCAGACTGATCTGTGTGTGACTGTGAGCTGAGTTCTACACATGATCAGTCTGAACGGCTCTCACTGAATCTACTGAGGCATCACAAATGATTATTCTGTAGAATGTAATTGGAGTTGGGGTTTTTTAAGTCTTATTTGAAACGTATTCATTTAAATATCAATTTTATAAACAGAAACAATACTTGCATTTTAATGTATTCTAAATAATAATATAATAATAATAATTTAATTTATTCTTTCTTTTTTGTTTTTCTCTTGTTTTTCCTCTTTCTCCTTTTCTCTTTTGCTCTTTCTTTTTCTTTCACTTTCTCTTTTTATCCTTTCTTTCATTATCATTTTCTTTTTTGCGCTTTTTCTTTTTCACATTGCCTCATTTTTTTCTTCTTTCTTTCTTTTTTCTCTTATTTTTTCTCCCTCTTTTTCTTTTTCCTCTTTCTTTTCTTTGTCTCTTTTGCTTTTTCTCTCTCCCTCTCCTTTCATTTTCTCATTTCTTGCTCTTTTTTCCTCTTTCTTTTTCTCTTTTTTCACTTTTCTTTCTCTCTTAATCTCTTTTTAATCTCTCACTCTCTTTCGCTCTCTCCCTCCCTCCCCCTCTCTCTCCCTGTTTCCCTTTCTCTGTGTCGTCAGTCATTTGTGTTCACAGACACAGAGGATCCTCGGCTGCAGCAGAGGCTCGGTGAGTCCAGCTCCTCTGCGACACTCAAAAGTTTTACACAATCGTCAAGTGGTGCTAAAACGATAAAATAATAGCAGAAATATTATCAGCACTAGAATCTACGCATAGGCCATGAACACATCAGATCATTTCTTCATCTTTTCTATCACTTGTCCTCTCCTCCGTGCTCATGACAGTACTTGTGTTGTGTTCTGAACTTCTTGTGTGTGTTTCCTAGGTGACCATCTGATCCACACCCACTGCTCCGGCGCGCACACTCGCCAGGCGCTGTCCTGTAAGATGTCCCACGAGTACGACGCCTTCCTCCGCTCAGGCAGGAAGTACGGCCCCGCCCCTTCACGCGTGACTCCTCCCCCCCATCCAGTGTCTCTGTACCAGCTCTCCACCTCTGTCTACTTTCTGTGACTCTCTCCTTTCTCTTTCCACTTTCCTCCACCCTTTCTCTTCTTTTTCTCTTTCTCTGTCACCCTGCTTCTTCCTCTTTCGAGCTCTCCTATTTCTCACACTCTCAGGATCTCCTCTCTCTCTCTTCATCTCCTCTCTGTCTCCCTCTTCTGTCTCTCCATCTTTCCTCTCTTTCTGTCTCGTCCTCCGTGTGTGGTGTTGTCTCTCTCTCTCTCTCGTGACGTCCTCTTGTGTGCTGTGTATTTCAGATGGCTATGTCACGTCGATGATGATAACTATGTGAACATGTCTGCTCTGCTGAAGCTGTTGTCTCAGTTCCGTCACACTCAGGACGTGTACCTGGGGCGCCCCAGCACTGGGACCCCTCTGCAGGCCTCACTCAGCACACGGGGGGCTGCTCCAAAGGTCGGACCACTACAGTACACCTGTTATCAATATAATGTCTAGTTAAATAGAGCTTTTATTTTTTATTTGTATTGTGTAGCACTTTGGAATCGGTTCTGTTTATGAAACGTGCTGTAGAAATAAAGTGGAGTGGATTACCGTATTTTCTGCATTATAGGGCGCACTCAAAAGCCTTTAATTTCATCAAAAACAACTGCGCGCCTTATATATGAATTTATTGGGGTGTCTTAGTACGACTTTAGTAAACTACAAAGCCACACCACTTGCAGCATTATGGCTCCCGTAGTCAGGATCATCAGGAGTAATACTGATGATGATGATTCCTTTTAATATCAAAATGCACCTGTCAAGAGACAAGCTCACAACGCCCACTTTAAACTCAAGGTTATTATAAAGTGAAAGTGTGAGCTGCGTGGGAGCAGTGGATGAGAGAAGGAGAACACACATTCACCAAGACAGAGAGACAGCACCGAGCCACTTACGCCACAATCTGCCAATGGATCCTGGAGGCCTGGGTTAAGGATCAGTATCAACTGTGGTTCGACCAGAATCATCATTGAACTGCCAGGGAACAGTAACCACACTGACTCGGATAATGACAGAGGGATGTGGACATGCTGGACGCCGGAATCACCCAACTGTTTGAACTATTATGACTTATTGTGAATACTCTAACAATTTAGCGTTTCACACAGTATTTTTTTTTACGCATTACAGCTGAACAAAATTGAGAGTTGGCTGACTTATCTAACTGTTGTGTGTCATTTCATTCGCCTTATAGTCCAGTGTGGTTTATATGTGAAAAAAGTTTGAAAATAGACCATTCAATGACAGCGCGCCTTATAATCCAGAGTGCCTGTAGTGTGGGAAATACGGTATACTGTATAGTTTAAAATTTTCTCTGAACTTTGAGGAAGACCCTGAGTGTCTCGTCCATCCAATGTTGAAGTGCTTTAAACATGTCTGTTCCTACAGTTTTAAAAAAAAAGTACTACAATCACAACCATAGACTGTATATAAATGGACATAGCTAACACACTAACCGCCGCTTTCCAAATAGGAAGTTCACATGTGGCTCTTCTGGCTCCTTCTGACCATGGCTCCCTTTGACTTACATTGAAATATTGTGACCCCGCGCAGTCTTAAAATGTTCGTATTAACTCGCTCTACATGATCCTGGTGATTTTTTTTCACTATTTCGTCAGATAATTCATATTCCTAATATACAGCTTGGCTCCAAATTCGCAGCTGTAACTGCTCCCATCACGAGTTTCATTTGAGTGGAGCCAAACACTGTGAGTGACGTTACACTCACTTAGTCCATTGTTTTATACAGTCTATAATCACAAGTGAACCTGTGTCTCCAGAGTCTTAACCTGCAGACAGAAACACATCCAAGTTTGTCACATTCTCATCAGAAAGAACAAAAATGTGTCTGTTTGCTGCAGGTGTTCCAGTCAGTGGGAGCAGGTAGAGGGTGCTCTTGGAAAAAGGATCAAAACTCAAACACAACAGGACTCCAGGCGCTCCAAAGAAGTAAAGATGATGAAGACCAGTTCAAGGTCAAAACATGTTGGCTTTGGCCATTTAAATAAAGGCCTTTTACTATGTTTTTCCTCGTGCTCTTTTTACTTCTTTGGAGTGCCTGGAGTCCTGTTGTGTTTGAATTGTTCCATTCTCAGTTTATGAACAGACCTCATGTAAAAGCTCAGAACCTTCAGAATTCCCTCCCTGAGCTGCAGAGGCTGCACTAGCACTGACTCATGATGAGCTGCAGGTGTAGTGACCATTTAGGTCAGAGAGAGTATTTTTATTTATTTATTTTTTTTTAAATCAACAGGATTTCAGCATTGAAACTGGCAGCCCAGATGAGAGATTGGTGTGAGGCTCATTCTGCTTTCTGATTGCAGAATTGTCTTGTGAAGTAAAACAATGCTCAGTGTTTTTGTCGTGTAGAATAAATCAGCATTGTTATAAGTAAAAAAAAAAAATCTTTGAACATGTTTACCTCATCTGAGCTCTATGTTTATGAAATCTGAAACAGAAATTGTGCATACCCTCCCTTTTTAAAGAGAAGCTACTAGAATTCTTGATGTTTCTGTAAATGGTTAATTGTACATAACCATAGTGTGTGTGTGTGTGTGTGTTTTGTCAGGAGGTGAGGTTCTGGTTCGCCACAGGAGGAGCAGGGTTCTGTCTGAGTCGCAGTCTGGCCCTCAGGATGCAGCCCTGGACCAGGTACTGTGCACGTTGTCATGGTAACAGTCATGTGAGAGACAGTAGGGACACCACCTTTATTCATCTCAACTGAGTTCCCAAGTTTTCATATTCACAACTTGGGAACGCGCTTGTGTATTAGGTCTGTGTCCCCCTTGTAGTGTTGTCATGATACTAAAATTTCAAGATCAAAATGTCGATACTAAGCAACTCGATACTCATTATGATGCAATGCAATTCCACAATGATCATAAAAAATCATGATTTAAACTATAGAAGGTGATTTTCAACTTTCCATCTGTAGTCCCTGAGTCTTGTCTGTGCAGCTAACTGACTTTAAAAGCTTTGATTCTGATTAAAACTTCAGTCTGTCCTCTGTTGACATTTTTCTCTGTTGTTTTCTATATATTTGCACTATTTTAAAGGGCCCATCTCATGCAAAATAATGCTTTTCACATTGTATCTTCTGCACATAAACAAGCACAATTTGGGTTTTGGAACATCCATTACACAATAGTTCTGAAATCTTACTGATTTCTTGGAGACAGTCACAGACCAGGAACTATGAAAGTCCGACTATTGCTCCTCCCCCCACCCGTCCTGAGAAAGCACAGGCTCCGCCCTCCAAACGTGACGTAGGCGACGAGTGAGCCGCCCTTCCTCCGCCCATCTCAGGGAGGGAGGGGGAGACAGGCGTGCACCCTGATAGTGGTAGGAATAAACTTTTATTCATCATGGAGATACAGCGCGTTCAGCCGCATGTGTTGGACATGTGTCGGCATCAGCTGAACATTACTGATTGGTAAAGTATTAATAAACACTAGTAGATCAACTTATTATATCATGTTCACTGCAGTGGAGAACAATGAGCTTATGCTGTCGCTTTTGTTTAGGTGTTCATGTGGGAATTGTCAGACGATGTGGGGTGGAGGTGGTGGAGTGTGGGGAGGGGGGCAGGTGCGAAGCGCTTTCTGCTACGTCAAATGCGTCATAGGTGTATCTGCCGCGTCATCGTTGTAGCAGCTTTAGTTGTCACGTGGGAGGTTGGCAGAAATACACTGCAATTTGTTAAAAAAAAAGCTGAATCAATCTAAAAAACACTTCGGCGACATATACAAGACATCACTCTCAGAAGGTAGAAAACTGAAAAATTGATTTTGCATGAGATGGGCTCTTTAAAGATGCCTCATGTAACTTTTCTGTAGGAGGGTCTGCCACCTGTTGGATTCTATGGAGATGTTATTGCTTTGTCTGGAAAGTTCCACAGTTGCCCGTCTCCATGTAGACAAGCTGATGGTGGTGACAGGCCAAGTTACCGGTCAGATCTGTGGAGAGGCGGCCCACCTCACAGCAATAATTGATGTTTTCTAAGCTGTTTTTGAGCAATAAAAACACTCACAAGTTAGTGTAGAATATTCCAGGCAAAGTAATAGTATCTCATGTACAGTGGACCAATACACACAGATCGTTTAATGGGTCTCGATGTTAATGCTGCGGAAAGAGGAGTTTTAAAGCCAGCTCTTCTGTCCCTGTGTGTGTGTGTATATGTGTGTGTGTGTGTGTGTGTGTGTGTATGTGTGTGTGCAGTGGCGGTGCGTTCATGAACACCTCGGACATGATCAGACTGCCTGATGACTGCACTGTGGGCTTCATCGTGGAGGGTCTTCTGGGGGTGGCTCTGACCCACTCCCCTCTGTTCCACTCTCACCTGGAGAACCTGAGCACCGTCACAGACCTGCGCTCTCAGGTACCTGCAGTCCCAGGGCAGCAGTGATCAGTCAAACTTCTTATAGCCAGAGTTAAACCTGTGTTTTAGACTTTTACAAACATGTTCTGAAAGGCATGAGACTCTTTCAGTCCTCCCCAAATGTTCAGTCTGAAAACCTACATTTGTTCTTGGAAATAAGGAACTAAGGAACAAGTTAAATTGAAATACCTACTCCTCCTGGAAAACACTGTTCCACCTTGTGATGTCATGTGATAACAGAGGAAGTGCTCCACTGTGTTTTTAAACGTCATACACCTTCAACAGAACCTGTTGATTTCAGTCCTGGAATTGTCAGTCTCTACTAAAGGTAAACGTAAAGGAACTGTTCACTTGAAAACTACCACTTCATGACATCACAAACGTGTGAATGAAACAGAACATAACTAAGTAGATGTTTCTTCAAAACAGTTAAGTCTGATACCTTTGTTGGTGTAGAACAGTTCTGTATGAAACAGATGCAGTGTAAAGTCTGTGTGTTGTTCTGTGCAGGTGACTCTGAGCTACAGCCTTGTGGAGAACACCAGGAACACTGTGCACATCACAGGAGGCTTCTCCACACAGCAGGACCCCACCAGGTACTGCTCCTCCAACTCTGCAAACACCACACCACGAACCTTCTCATTCAGTCATATTTAAAGTTTATGTCCAGTTTTAGTTGTGCTCTTTTTTATTTCTGGAACAGGAGCCCATGTTCCACATCTCATGTTCTTATAAGACTAAATCAGATGCTCACAGCTGGAGCTCAGTCATATATTCATATTTTAAATATCTCAGTATCATTTTGCACAAGATATACATTTGTCCATTCTGTAAATATTGTGCTGTGAAAATAGAGTTGCTCTCCTCTCTGAGCACAGAGCTACAGTGTGCTCATGTCTGTCTGCTCCCTCTGCTCTGAGACTCTGAGTCTGGACTAAAGCTGTCCACTGTCCACTGGGACACACAGCAACATCTATCCAGGATTTATCTGAGGTGTTAGTTTGCTCATGTTTGAGTTTTCACACACAGCATCTGTTGCAGAGCTCTATTAGCCTCTTTCAACCTTTTTTTTTTCTCTGTAATACTACAGATAGCTTCATGTTAGTCAGTGTTTATTACAAAATGCACTCAAACTGTCCCAGACCTACTCCACACTGTGTCTCCACAGGTATGTGGGCTGTAGTCTCTCTTATAAAAGTTTGCTGAGGAGAGGTTGCTAACATGTGGATACTTTGTGTGTAGTTTCATTTTCCACCTGGTTAAAATAAATCCTGTCTCAGAAATGCACAAGCACTACATACACAACAGGAGAAAACATGTGTACTCCACAGTTCAACTGAAAAGTTACAAAGTTACTAAGAGAAATGATTAACAGGAGTTAGACCAGTGAGACTTGTTTCCTGCAGGAGGTCAATTCAGATGAGTTAGTCCAGCTGTAATGGGCTGTAACCGCGGGCAACAGTAGTTTTGTGTAATACTATTATTATCTGTTGGATTTTGAAACAGAAACGGGCAAAATAAGTCTGACATTTACATTTTAACATTTAAACCATCAGCCTCTAGGGAAAGTGTGATGTGTTTCTCATCAAATCATATGCAGATATAGACTGAATATGGTGATATAGAAAATGATATTGAGGTTTCCATTTATGTCCTTATGGCTGAGCCGGTCTCATTGCTGTACAAAACCCTGATACTACAGTAGTGTGTTTCTGTGACCTGTTTACAGTCCCAGTGTGGAACTGCACTTGTGTGTGATTCTAAATTACACAGAGTTGTGTATTTTATTGTTTCTGTGAATAGTGGGAAGATTGGATCAGTTCATTGTGCTGTGATAAGAGCCTATAGAGACATGGCCTAAACAAAAAGCCATTGAGCTGCGAGGACAATGCACCTGACGCCTGCACCACTTTTATTCTGGGCTGTGTTACTGTGGGGGAGGAGTGTGTGGCTGAGTTTTCTGTAAGAACACAGAGCAGAGCAGTGGAGTAAGGCTTTTCCGGGGTTTGTCCTGTCACATGTGAACAGGACACTCCACTGGACTCCTTCCAGCTATTCACACCACTTCCTCTCTCCCTGTTTCTCTTTCTTTTCCTCTCCCTCTCTTTCTCCCTGTCTGTCTCTGTCTCCCTCCTCCTTTCTTCTATCCATCCACACTCCTCTCTCTTCTCCCTCGCTTATTTCTGTTCTGTGTAAAAGTCAGAGTGCACAGAACTCAACCTGGTCTCATGTAAATCTTCCACATGAGCCCATCAAATCTCATCATCACCCCCACACTCTCTCCTCCTCTGCATCTCTCATCCCTCTCTTATTTTCTCGTCCATCCTCGCTCTCACCCCTCTCCTCCTCCTTTTGCCCCCTTTCAATTTTGCTCTCTCCTCACCTCACTTCTCTCCTTCTCTTTTCTCTCGTTTATCTCTACTCCCGCTCTTTTTTCTCTCCTCTTTTTACTCACTCGCACCTGCTTTTTTCTCCACTTTCTCTTCTCCCTTCTTTTTCTCTCCTCTCTCTCTCCTCTCTCAACTCTCCTTACCTTTCCCTCCCCTCTCTCTTCTCTCGTCCTCCCTCTCTCCTCTCACGCCTCTCTCCTTACCTCTCTCCCTTCATCTCTTTTCTCTCCTCTCTCCTTTTTCTTCATCTCTCCTCTCTCCCTCCCTCTTTTCTCTCCTCTCTCCTTTTTCTTCATCTCTCCTCTCTCCCTCCCTCTTTTCTCTCCTCTCTCCTCTTTTTCTTCCTCTTTTCTCTCCTCTCTCTCCTTACCTCTCTCACTTCTCTCCCTTCTTCTCTTTTCTCTCTTCTCTCTCTCTCCTCTCACACCTCCCCCTCTTCTCTCTCTCGTCTCTCTCTCATCCCTCGTCTCTCTTCTCTCGTCTCTCTTCTCTTCTCACAGTCTCTCTCTCTTCTCTTCTCTCGTCTCTCTCTCTCGTCTCTCTCTCTCATCTCTCTCTCTCTCTCGTCTCTCTCTCTCTCTCTCTCTCTCTCTCTCTCTCTCTCTCTCTCTGTCTCTCTCTGTCTCTCTCTCTCTCTCTCTCTCTCTCGTCTCTCTTCTCTCTCTCTCTCTCGTCTCTCTCTCTCTCTCTCGTCTCTCTCTCTCTCTCTCGTCTCTCTTCTCTCTCTCGTCTCTCTCTCTCTCTCTCGTCTCTCTTCTCTCTCTCTCGTCTCTCTTCTCTCTCTCTCTCGTCTCTCTTCTCTCTCTCTCTCTCTCTCTCATCTCTCTCTCTCTCTCTCTCATCTCTCTTCTCTCTCTCGTCTCTCTTCTCTCTCGTCTCTGACTCATCTGTGTCTGTGTGTCCAGGTTGCGGTCTGTGCACTGCCTGTTGTACCCGGACACTCCCTGGTGTCCCCGTCCAACCTGAGGAGCGACAGAGGGAGGGATGAAGAGGAGGAGTGCACTGGAGCGTCTGAAGGGGGCAGTCACGTCCACTTCATTTTTTTTATTTGGATCAAAACGCTATGGTTCAGTGTTTGGTCTCAGACAGCCTGTTCAGAGCCGAGCAGGAGAGAGAAGAGTGTGACGTCCAACCACCACCACGAGAAGAAGGACACAGAAGGACACAGAAGGACACAGAAGGACACAGAAGGACACAGAAGGACACAGAAGGACACAGAAGGACACAGAAGGACACAGAAGGACACAGAAGGAGAGTGAGGCCGGAGCTCTCGTGGCTCAGAGAGAGAGAGGCTTTAAAGGTTGTATGGAGGATTTTTAGTTTTTAGTTTCAAAATGTCAATGAAAGTTTAAAATACCATTACAGAGAGGCAGCAGCCTTGTAATTATGATGACCAAAAAAAAAAGAATGAAAATCTATCAACTGTGGACGTGTTGAGGCCAGATAAACATCAGCCAATAGAGACTACCTCATTTTCTATTGGCTGTTGGGTTGTCAATCAAACTCCCTACGTTTCTAGTGTAACTGACTCACCGGCGCGCAGGGATTATGTGGTTTATGCAGCGGTTTTTAGTAGGGGTGTGCAAAAATATCGGAATATCGATATATCGTATCATTTAATGTGATGATACAGTATCAATATTGTGGGCTATTGTATCGATATATCACCAAGAGTATTTTTACGTGTGTTTTACTAAATTATTCTGTTACAGTGCTACAGTTTTGTTGCTTGTGGACAGGTTTTGACATTTTGACACTATTTTGAGGATTTAAATGTTTGTGTTTCATATGAACTTTGGACAGAAAGTGGTTTAACAAACACTTTTAGTATCACAGCCACGATTTAGCCTTTATTTTTTATTGAACTGTATCGAATCGATTTGAAATAGATCATATCGAATCGAAAGTGCACTGTATCGAGATTTGTATCATATCGTGGCCTGTGTATCGAGGTATGTGTCGTATCGGCAACTTCTTAATGATACCCAGCCCTGGTTTTTAGAGGCTTTTTCAAACTGTCGCTTCCTCGCAGTTTCGCACAAAGTTTGTCGCGATGGCGGACGAGAATCCACGACCAGTTCGCCGCAAAAGAAAGTCAGTTTTTGAGGTCGCTGAAAGAAGAAGAGAAGGGGAAAAGGAGCAAAGCCAAACTGAGGTGATTCTTGGAGATTCCTTCCAGCAATTGTGCAAATGATGCAGACGAAGGGTCTAAAAACTGACATGTCGGTTGCTAAATTACTTCTAGACTGGTCACTTCAACAGTAAGTCTGAACATGCACCGGCTATAAACAAGCGTGATTTCTAGAGTAAAGAGGCTGGAGGAGGTGTTTCTACTTGTGGAGCTGTGGAGGAGGAAGGTGATGTCACGTTTGCACAACATTTGAAAAAGAACTGTCGCTGTATTTCTTTTCCCTTAAAAAAAAATCCTCTGTACAACCTTTAAGATGCACAGTATGAAGTGACTTTGGCTCTGCTGACGGACAGGTCTGAGCTGCAAACTGCTGAGCTATTTTTTTTAATTTCTATTCTATTCAGCCTCTACAAAAAACAAATGAGAAGGATTTCAGTGTTGATTTCATGAGCGTAAACAAAACTTACAGACTTTTAATCTGTAACATGTAACACAAAAAAACAAACACATTTCTTCCTCCAAAGCCTGAACTCTTCTCCAAACCACATCGTTTTCCTGACAGAGGACTGACCGTGAACGTCTCCACTCAGAAACCTCAACCACATCACTGACCGAGAGGCATGACTGACACATCTTTGGACTAATTGCTCAGCTCTGTAGGTCAGGCGTTCCCAACTTTCCAGACCACGACTTCCAAAGTTAAGGAGCTGACGACCCGTGACTCAGCTGCAACCCCCCACACATGCTCTGGATGGGCACGATTAGTCGATTAATTGATAATTGATCATTAAGAATTTCATCCATTACGTTCATTTTTAATTGACAAACTGAATGTAGGTTGCTGTGTGAAGTGTAGTGTGACCAAAGATCAATTTTTTCCCCCGGACATGTCTATTTTTCATGTCCTGTTCTGGCCGTCTGTTTTTTGTTTTTTGTTTTTATAAAGTGATGCAAATGTCCGGGTTTTCATGACCTTTCATTGGGCCATTAAACTGAGCGTCTCTTGTAGCTCTCTGTAACTCAGAAGGAGCGAGCAAACACAAACAGTCGGTCAGTCTGCAACATGCCGAAGCACAAATGCGCATTTAACGATGACTTGTACAAGAAATTCCACGCTTTCCGTCCCGGTCGAGACAGTTGTGTGGCCATGTGCACAGTGTACAAAGCAGCACATATGTTTCAGTGCACAGTGGTGGTGACAGGGATTTCAAAGCACCAGGACACCGAAAAACATGAAAATGTTTTGTCAGGTGAGTCGCTCAATGTCGATGATGAGTCCCCACCTCCCTCCCCCCGTACGGTGTCCTGGTTTTGACAAACGCAGATATGGTCACACTAACCTGTATTCCACTCGGTCATGTCCTTTAGTCCGACAGAAATTGAATCACATCAGCGCACAAGAGCCGTTTTTTTCTTCGCTTAGTTTATGCAAATTAGACATGCAAGTTTAGTTTAAGTTTGGTTTCTGTGAGACTTGCACAAATCTGCATTAAACACATTCTAATGTGGCTCTAGAGTCGTTACAGTTTATATGTTGTAAAGTTGAATTTATTTATGCAGATTAGTCGTGCAGATAGTAATAATAATCATGATAATTTTAATATAAAAATGTTAATGATTAATCGATAATCGATCGTAAATTCTCTCGACGATTAAGAAATTTTTATCGAATGCCCATCCCTAACACATACACTCCCTCTCTTTACCAGTAACACAGTACTGAAAGCTGGGTATAGAGGCTTTGCACCGTCACGTGTCCCCATGGCAATGGTACCTACGCCTGCCATGACACCGGGCAACACTATGTCATTGACTTCAGTGGCATCGGAGAAACATGGGCAGGTTTTGTTGTGTATTTGGTTGTTCTAGACGCTCTGAAAGGGATAAAACGATTCGTTTCTTCACTGTTCCTCTGGAAATGACTCATCAGGAGCTTAAACAAGGGAATTATCAAAAAAAAGACGGGAATTATGTCTAGAGAACATAAACCGCCAAGAGATTTCCTATGGTCCCATCAAGACACACTCACGTCACTTTCATCAAGGTATTTGCTATTTAAATTGGTTTCATAGTTTATTTAATGAGAGAAGCAATTTACTGAACTAAAATATAAAAAGAAAACATTTGCAGTGTGAGTGGCAGTAGAAACTGGATCTTCCAGCACATATAAACATGTCACTCGTCGTAGGACCCATGTTTTCTTTATTGTCTTGTTTATCCACAACTATGTCTTCTAGAATGAATCTGCTTTTTGTGAGTGGATCTTTCTAACATTCGTGAGGATCTTTTCATGGGCCGATTCTTTCGAGGTTCGACTCGTGCACCATGTTGATCACAGGAGCCCAGTGTGGGTTCGTTGAATCATAAACTAGTGCGGGTTTTCCTGGATAAATTAATGACATTTGAGTTCAGTAAATGTGCTTCTTTCAATAAATAAGCTATGAAACCATCTAAATAGCAAATACCTTGATGAAACTTCGGGTGTCTTGATGGTACAGTAGGAAATCTCTTCGTGGTTTATTTTTACTAGCCGTAATCCGCATCTTTTTTCGATAATTCCCTTGTTTGAGCTCCTGATGAATCATTTCCAGAGGAGTAGTGAAGAAACGATTCGTTTTATCCTTTTCAGAGCGTCTAGAACAACCAAATACACAACAAAACCTGTCCATGTTTCTCTGATGCTGCTGAAGTCAGTGACATAGTGTGCCTGGTGTCATGGCGGCGTAGGTACCGTTGCTATAGGGACACGTGACGGTGCAAAGCCTCTATTTCAGTTTAAAGACCTACTACACTTTGGTGCACACTTTGATCAGTCTCAGCTCTTCATGAATCTGGAGCTAGACCCGTACCGAGTTAGTAATGTAGTTAAGTACCTTGGGTGTGTATGTTCCGTGTGGCAGAGTAAGTGCGCATGATAGAGCGTCATGTGTTCACACGGGGCTGGGAACTAAACAGCAGCACAGGTGAATAATAAATCTAAATCCTTGGACACGTGGAAGTCCATCAGTCCTGGTGAAAGTGCAATTCCCAAATAAATGTGGATTCTCCAGAGTGGAGCGTGTGTGTGTGTGCGTCAAGATCCAAACAAGTCTTTTGTAAAGTTCGCCAAAATCCTCCTCCTCTTCCCAGGAAACTGTGCAATAAAAGTGTAAAGTAATCAAAACAAAAAGCACGTGTACCGCCCCGCTGTCTTAGATATAAAGTGTTTTTATGGGGAAAGTAAAACTCACCTGTGCATATCATTTGTTTTCATTTGTGTTTAGTTCTAACTGGACAGAGGTGGTATAGTCACATAGGCTTGTAAATGTTTTAAAACAGGAATTCACATTGTTATGGAAGAGTGTGACCCGTCAGATCCTCGAGCGGAAAATCTGGGCTCAGACTCAGCCAATTTATTTTCAGTAATCATCCCTCGTTTACTCACATTATTATTACAGTGGTATTTTTAACCAAAGTGTTTTTTTTAAGTATTTATATAACCTATTTAAAAAAAAAAAAAATCTGAAATCATCTTCCCTCACAGGTGATGTGTTTGTGGGTCATGTTGCCTTCAGTGGTCAGTCCCTGCTCTCTGTCCTCTGTCTTCTGTCTTCTGACCTGCACTTTTGCCCATGATTGTTGAAAAAAGGACTTTATCTGTTTGTCAGTATTTCCTTGGTGCTACAGAAGGTGGCGCTGTTGCAGGGTTTGATCATGTTTTGTTTTGTGGAGCTGAGCGTTCCAAAGAGACACATTCCCAGTGGCGTGCTGGAGAGGACTGACCCATGTTGGGTTGTGTGAGCTTCTGTCACTGTGATCATACTGAAAATATCATCTTTTAATCGTAAATCATGTGTTTTTTGTTAGCTTTTTTTGTAAATCTGATGTTTTTTCTGAGTGTACCATAATGCTGAAGCTGCTCGTGAAGCAGAGTGCTGTCTCCAGTATCTGGACCTGAATAAAATCATGTTTGACCGTGGTTGTTCTCTCTATTACAGGCTCTTCAGTGTGACCAGACTGAGGGGGTGCTGCCATCTGCTGGCTCTATGTGGCATTACATTCAATTGATCAAATTCCAAGTTCTGACGTTTTAATATGAAATCTAAAATTTATTTGCACCATTCTCAGACCAGACTGAAAGAGCTAAAAGTTCCTGTGGTGATGGTCTCCAGATATGACACACCTCAGAGATTCCTTTGTTTAAATAAAACATTAAAGAGTCTGTACACTAGTAACATAAGCATTCAATGATTCTGGTGGGACTACATTTAAAATCCTCTAAATCAGGGGTGTCCAACCTTTTCTCATCAAGGGCCACATCTCTAAACACAGATGAAGCAGAGGGCTGATCGAGGGCCGTAGACTGATGCTCAATACAGTGAATAATTGAAATCTGTGCATGTTTAACATGTTAGAATGAGCCATCAGTCTTTATTCATGCTGAGATCCTTAAAATCACACTAAATGTTAAATATTAGCTCGATCGAGGTCAATTTTCAAAAAAAAAAAAATGCATTAAAAGGTTAATTTTTTATTTAATTTAATTTGGACCAATTCTCCTGGAAGACTGAGTGCCAAGAAAAACTTGTCTGAGGGCCG